ACGATGGTGGTGGGTTGTGGGTAGTGAAGATGTTGGTAATAGTAGTGCGATGGGTCTAGAGTGGGCTGCATGGATGGGAGGACGAGTGAGGCTGAGCCATCAGCTGCGGCCTGGATCTTGATCCGTTTGGAGTAAGGTTGTTCAAGATGATCATGGATGTGATGTTTTGATCGGAGGGTGGAGAGTGTTTGGATGAGCTGGTTCATGGCAGTTTGTTTGTGGGAGGGGTGGCCGCGGGGCTGGTTGAGTAGGTTGTTGAGTGCCCTGTTGAGTTTGTTGGGAGTGATTTGAGTTCTGTAGATAGGAGGATCAGTTTGGTTGTGCTCTTATTATTTATGATGTTTGAGAGAAGATCAGTTTACGCACTCAGTCTTTTTGGTTGTATGAGACTGGCGTGGTGAGGAGAGGATGCTGTCGAGTAGGGTGTTATGTGGTTTGGGTGTTCGAGGCAGTGATGAGGAGGATGAGGATGCTGATGAGGATGAGGATGGATGGGGTGAGGAAGCGAGTCTTGTTGATGTTGTTGTTCTTCTGTTCTTGGTCGTTGGTTTCATGATGATGGTTTGGTGTTCGTTCTCCTTTAAGTCGCTTGCCTAGTTCTCTGTTCGCTGGGCTGGCTGGTCTGCTGAGTCTATGTATGTGTTGATGTGGTCTGGTCCAGTCGAGAGGCTGCTGGGTGTGAGTTGGTAATGAGAGACGTTCAAAGGATATCTCGAATGAATGAAGAAGAAAAAAGATCGAAGGCAAATGAGAAGGAAGTACTACATACAAGGCAGGGAAGGTCGAGTCAAGCAGCCCCGAGGCCAGAAGAACCCAGGATTACATAATCATCACTCAGCCCAAACTAAAATCCCATTAAACACATATCCCTTCAGCTTTCCATCCACCACCACCCCTTCATCGAAAATCCACAGGGGGGCGAGCAGAGGGCACAGCTATCTCACATTCGGACCATCTACAACAAAGAATGCAAACTGTCCATCGCGCCCGGGGGATTCTCAACCCTACACAAAGCACAATCGGAACTTACATCCATACATTCCTTAATTCTTCAAGAAATCGACAAAAAAGGCGACGGTCCTGAACACCCAAAAACAAGAGGCAGCTCCATACAGCAGGAAGACTGAAAGGACAGGCTTGTTCAAAAATCGGTGTATGTTTGCCCATCATTTTCTTTATCACCTTGTTCCAAACTCAGCCAAGGAAATCACTCAGTTTCCATTCTTGGGCTGTCAAAAATATGTTCTTCAACAGTTAGACCATGAAGATCTTCAAGTAAGATCATCCAATAACTTCTATCCCCCCCCTCAACCACCAATACCCTGGTCAAGAGGGTATTCATAGGACCCAGGGAACACCCTATAGAGGGGCCTAACCAAAAACCATTAAAGGTTTTACCAACATTCCTACATTTCTGAAAGCCATTCATACAAGGGGTGTGTGTGTGTAGAGCACTGTAAATTGCAATCCACCTGATTTTCAAGGAATCTCAAAGTGGCCCTTTGAATTGCCTCTTTGTTTTTGCTGCTAAAAGTTAGTTTTTTGTTTGTCGCTTTTTCTGAGGGTTTTTAATAAACAAGTTCTAATCTATCCACTGATCAAGTCATGCAGAAAAAAATTTACTGGTAAGAATTTGTTACTTATACATCATTCAGACATTCTAGATTAGTACCCTATGATCAAGAGAAAATGCCCATTCATACATTGTTGGGGTGTATCATATATTTGTTGGATTTTTTGGATAGGAATTCCAGCATTTTGGTTAGGCACCTATAGAGGGGGCTGCCTGGGTCCTGTATTGATGTTAACAATTATATCCTCTGACCTAAAAGTTGTCCAATGAGCTTATTGGAGTTCAGTTGACCAATCAAATCATTAAAATATCTATTTAAGTTCTTTCAGGTGTTCATGATTTATATTCACCCAACATTGGTTATCCAAAAATTGGGAAATGAATGTGAAAACACGAAATCAAGATGAAATAGGCAAGGGATTGGAGGAATTTGCATTGCTTAAATCACTTGATTTAGAAGGGGTTGATGATCCTGTTTAGAATGTCCTCCTAATCTAACAAATATGGAAAACAGGAACTTGGAAGTGCTTGTGTCAAATTTACTTTTTTTCATATGTAGTACAGCCCCTTGACAGACCAAACCCCCTCCTGCTGAAATTGCATGGAGGGGTTCCATTCTTTCTGTCCAGGGGATTTATGTTCCAATTTTGAATAGCAGCAATGTATTTCTTCTATATAGTTTCAGGATCAGATTAGCATCTATTCAGATATGCTTTCACCTTCCCTTATAGATCACCCATAGTTTTTAACAATCTGATCACTGTTTTCTTAGGGTGGATTGCAATAATTGAACTGCTTGCAGAATTCAAAAGTCAAAAACATATCTCTATGCCTTTTTCATTGATTTTGTAATGCAAGGATGCCAGTATCTACCCCAGCTAATGGTGGACTTCCTATCACAATCTGTGGGTCCCCCAAAACCAACATAGAGCCTCAAAAACCAGATTTATCTGCAAACATCTACAGTTTTTGGGTCCAGATTGACTTCTGCAAGGGCTCCAGCTCACAAGGGAAGTCATGCAATGACAGTGTGGTGGCACATTGTGAACATTTTACTACAATCACTAGGCCAAGTCCCAATGAACATGTTCTATGTCATTGAATGCATCTGTTGAAATTGTGAAATATCAGTTAATGACAATGTCAAGTCTTCATTGGAACATTGTCCTACAGTTGCTAGACCAAGTCTCAATAAACATGCAGTTCTATGTTATTGAGTCGTGAATATGTATGACAGAAAAAGTTATTGATTGGTTTGCACAAGTGGGTCCAACTTCAAGTGGAGAGTTTGTGCAGGTTATCAAATCAAGTGATAGCTCAGGCTCAAAGATGCCAAACGAAACATGAACAAGAAAACCTTCCAAACACCGTATCAGGTTTTCTGGATTAACTTATTTTACATGGGTGTGCAATTGTCATGAAGTTCATCCTGGGTAATACCGCGCTGGTTTTTGAAGGATATCGATCGAAGTATGTCAATTTTGATTTGAGAAAGCCAAATGAAAGAGAATCGATCATCTACTCACTCCGATTGCAAGATTCTGGCCACAACAGTAGGTATTATCAGGGCAGCGCTTAAATTTGGTTGAGTCGTCTCCCGGCGGCCAAACATCGGCATTTCGAACTTTTTCAATCCGCCAGGGGAGATCATGATTGGACGGGTCAACTGAAATGAAATTGATCTGCGCATGCGATTGAGGAGGAGGAAGAAGAAAAGAAACCGTATTTACGAGTATAAGTGGTTTCGGTCTGTTTACCACATTGACCGATGTATCGGTGAGTAACATTGTCATCGCACACGACAGGAGTCTCTGCATTTACAGCTACCATCCCGTAAGCCGCAGCAAGGATAGCGAGGGTAGACAATTGCATAGTGCGGTTGGAGATATAGATAAGAGACTTTTGAGGATATATTGGACTGTGAGGTCAAGATTTTGTGAGGTCAAGGGAAGCCGTGCAGGGTGATGGAGCAGGGGACGGAGACAATGTCCTCTACTTATAAAGGGCACAGCGCGATGAAAGCGAGTCGGCAGTCGCATTGCACGCAACATCCATCGTGTGGCTTGCCGCACAGTACTGCTCATCTGTGCCACATCAAAGCCTTTTCGGAACTTTTGCGTACCCTTGGGGGTTGTATGTACATGTTGTGTTTGAATCAAGCCTTATCCTTGGCGAACTGCAAACAACATGGCCGTGGAGGCAAGCAACCTTGGGCACTCGTCACATCAGATTCACACCTGCGCTCACTCTGCACCCCGCAGTCGGGGCTCTGAACGTGTCTGGATGGAGATAGTATGCATGCCAGAAGCCTGCAAAATTCAAGACACTTTGCTCTTGGCAAGGCTATTCTTCCTGAAGTTCCGATCTTCCTACCCCAGGTGATTCTAAAGCTCTCTGGGCAGGTTACTTCTTCTCCTACCAGGGGAAAGCTGCATCCGATGCCAGCCATTCAACATCAAAACCACTATTCAAGTTTATAAATCTTACTTACTACAAGCAAGAATGGAGATCTCCATCTGGCTAGAGTTTCCTATTATCAACTCAGTCACGACCTTGGTAAACGGTGAAATTCCATTCAAATGCGAAGATCATCCGGGGTCTTTTGTGATCACTTTTGACACCGTCATAGCAGTATGTGCCAGAGCGTCTACCAAGGCCGAAGGAGATCGTTTGCGTGCATAAGGTAAAGGGCGGATGAGTAAGTTCATTCTTTTTCTTCATTAGACACCATGACCTGGGCTATGTCTCTATTCACACAAGTTCTAATTAGACTTTCACGTCACAATCTTTTAGTCTCGGAGGCCCCAGGAGCAAGTGGTGAGGTCAACGACTATAACTGTGCTGGCGTCAATGTTTTTGTTGAGGGACACCCGGGTGACTGAAACAGAGAAGGCTATTAAACTCACTGATGATCTTGACAGTGAATAAAATGGTTTGTATTCAATGATCAAGAGAGGAAGAGAGAAGTTCGGACTAGTTCGGAGCTGGCAGAAAAGCAGTAGTGGGGTGCTTGTTAGAAGCATGACTCAATATAAGCATACGGCTACTACATACAGGCTGTACCATCCCAACAGTTTTTGGAGGAATCTTGCAGAGAGTGTATCACTGCAATGATGGCTCATGGCTTCAAGTGAGTTTCAAAGTCAATTCTGCATTGGCTATTCAACAGCTGATGTGATGATGATCTCAAGGATAAGGTCCATTACATCAAGATTGAGCGGATGGACCAAGAAGGCTGCAAAGAGGTGGACTAGTTACCAAAACACCCTCCGGAAGGTAGAATATATAATTTTTTGATTTTTCTATATGATACACCTTGATGATTCATTGGGAAAAGCTTGGATAGGCTACGCTCATGGGAGCTGTGGTAAGGGAGTCCTTCCGACAAGCTGGTTTAAAATCCATCTTGCCGGGAGGAACCCCTCTCAGCGAGCTGGCATGTAGATCCTTGTCGGGAGGGGTTCCTCCCAACGGTGTGTCCTCTGCCTCTTTAGGCCAAGGGGGGCAGGGGGTTGTTTTCTTTTCTTTTTTTGCAAAAAAAGTCCAACTCGCCCGTGTTTGCCCACCAGTAAAAGGGAGGGTATCTGCAGATATCCACGCAGATACCCGCCAGCGCTAGGGGATGCAGATGCCTGATTCTGCTGAAATGGTCAGCGGATATCCGCATCCGTGTGGATATCCGCATTCGAAGTGACCATCTCTAGGAACCAGTGGATTCAACTCAATGTCAACAATTTATTGGATGTCTTAATTATTTGGCCCTTGGGACGCGGGCTGATATTTCTTATGCTATTAATTATTTGGCACAGTACTCTAAAAATCCTCGGAAGGCACATTGTTTGATGGGTTACTTAAAAGCAACTGTTGATAAGAAGCTACTAATTAATCCAAAAGGTAGTGAGTTACAGATTTGGGTTGATGATGGATGGGGAGGCAAATTTTCTTGTTCAACCTCTGGTTTCATGGTCCAAATAGGTGGAGCGGTGTGGTGGCGAGAGCGCGACTTGACCAAAGCTTTGGCCGGTTTGTTTGGGCGCATGCGGAATGCTCGCGGCTGATGCGGAAAGCATCCCCGGAGCTGACGCTACACACACAAGCTGAGGAAAGCGGCGGTGCATTAGTGGAAAGTCTAGCTTTCCGAGGACCGGGAAAGCAGGCTGAATGCGCAAGGTTCCGAAAAGCTTGCTGCAGGGAATCCGGGCACTGGCGGACACTGGGGTTCACGGCCGACTGCGGAACGGGGTTCAGCGTATACTGCGGAGGGGCTACAAGGAGCGGGGGCCCCGAGGGGCGGAAGCGGGGTTCGGAGCGAACCAGAGGCGGAAGCGGCGGTGAGAGACCTGTCCATGAGCGGCCGGAGGAGTACCTGGACCGACAGGCGTCAGAGGGGTGACGAGCGGAGTCCGAGGGAGTGACAGCGGAGGACATCGTGGGAAGTAGGAGGAAAATTGAGTGTGGGATAATTGGGAAGAGTGGAGTTTGGAGCGGAAGAGAAAGGGAAAGGGGGGGGGACTTATGACTCAGAACTTATCAGAAAAACAGAGTGACTTAGGAGAGAATTGTGTATTAGCCTAAAGAATTGTTAGAGTGTTACCTACCAAAATCAATAATAGAATAGTTATTTTACTTACCTACAAGACCATCAAGCAAGTTACCCCGGACAACAAACCGGAGTAGGACATGTTGCGGAGCGGAGAAGTGCAAGAAATCACCTAGGGTGTGCCTTACTTTCCACAGCGGTGGTGGTGTGGGGATCAAGGCATCAAAAAACTGTGGCAGTGTCAACATCTGCAGCAGAATACATTTAGGTGGGTTTGTGGATTGAATTTTTTGTGTTCTGGAAGGGGCTGATTGATAGTTGTTGGAAGAAGGTAGAGGGGGCAGGTCTTTGTGATAATAAGACAGCCATTCTTGTCATGGAGGATATTGTGTCAAGAGGAGGACTGAATTATCTTGATACACAATTCCTTTACTCAAATGAAATGATTTGGACACATGATCTGAAACTAGAGATGGGCGATTGGCATCCGGATATCCGTCTGCTTTTTCCGGCCATCTAGGCATCTGCATCCGCACGCGCACCCGCTGGCGGGTATCTGTCGGCCGGCAGCGGGTATCCTTTGGGATACCCCGGATACCGGCCAACGAATTGCGGAAAAGGGGGCCATCCGCTCCCAAATCCGCACCGGCTGGCGGGTATCCGCCAGCAGATAGCGGGTATCCGCGACGGATACCCTCCAACCATCTCTATCTGAAACTAAACAAGGTCAAAACCACAGATCAACTTGCTGATATCTTACCCAAAAGATTGGGACCGGTGAATCAACAAAAGACAATACAGTGTTTCTTTCAATAACTTTTTTTCTTCTTTTCTTCTTGAATTTCATTGGGTGGATTATCTATTTATTTCATCTCTTTTATTTTGTTATTATTATTCTTTTTTTCTGTGTCTTATTGTTTTGTTGTTGGTATGGGGGATGCAAGGTTTGAGGGGGGGGGGGGGGTTGAGGAGTATGCATGTAGAGAGAAAAACCTTGCATAGGAGGCTATAGAATATTCTGGGTTATTACATAGTCAGCATTGGTCATCACATGAAATATATGCTAAGGCTTTTTTCCTCTTTTTCACTCACGACATCTATGAGTGGTTGCAAATTTTTCCTTGATAAATAAATTGATGATGAAGTTCAGATTCATTAATCAGAACTGATTGACAAGAACCAAATATTGATTTGGAAGTCTTCAAGTTCCATCCATTCCAAGGAGAAATTTGACCTCAAGTATTTCAATTTGGAAACTAAACACTTTAGTGATCTTTAGATTCAGACTCAGATGATCTATTATCTCTCTTTGATCATCCAATTTTCAGTTATTGAGGTCCAAAATCACTTGATTTAGACTAGGGGTTGCTCAAATCTATTTGTTAGTGAAAACTTGTTCTTGAATGGTTTTCACTGGCAAATCCTGTTTAGGATAGGATGTCCCTCTAACCTAATAAAATGGGACAACAGGAACTTAGAAGTGATCCATTCTGGAAGCCGTTCTAGTATGTCAAATTTACTCCTTTTTTTACATGAAGTACAGCCCCTTGATAGAAAAGACCAAGCCCCCACCAGCTGAAATTGCATGGAGGGATTCCATTCTTTCTGTCAAGCTTGAATAGCAGCAATGGAGGACTTCCCATCAACATCTGCGGGTCTCCCAGAGCCGGGTTAGAGCCTTGAAATTCAAATTTTTCTGCAAGAATTAAGAGTTTTTGGGTCTGGATTGACTTCTGGGAGGGTCCCAGATCCAACAGGAAGTCCTCCAATGTGTTCCTTATCCATAGTTGCAGGATCAGATTAGCAATCACTCAGATATGCTTTGAACTTCTCTTATAGATCACTTGTAGTTTCTCACAATGTGATCACTGTTTTCTTAGGTTGGATTGCAACAATTGAACTACTTCCAGAATCCAAAAATTAAAAACGTATCTTTATGCCTTTTTCATCAATTTTGATATGCAAAGATACCAGTATCTACCCCAGTTAATGGTGGACTTCCTGTCACAATCTGTGGGTCCCCCAAAACCAACATAGAGCCTCAAAAACTGAATTTCTCAGCAAGAATCTACAGACTTTGAGGCTAGATTGACTTCTGCAAGGGCTCCAGCTCACAAGGGAAGTCCTCCAATGACAGTGTGGTGGCACATTAAGAACATTTTACTACAATTGGTAGAAAAAGTCCCAATAGGCCAGTTCACGTAGCTGCTCATCCGCAGTTAAAAAAATTATGATGAGCAAAATTTAATCAAATTCTCTCTTAAATTTTTACCTTAAAAATCCCCGGGATTTCAAACCCATGAGCAATCTCACTGTTACTTGACAAGCAGATGGAAACGTGCCCATCATTCTAACTCCATCCACCTCCATCCCCCGCTCCCCCTACACCCCTTAGCTTGTTTTGGTACTACCCTCACGTTTCAAACATCTCAGCACACCCTCAGCACACCCTCGACACCCTGGTACACCCTCACAAACTCCAACAACCTTGTAAGTATAATTCAACCTACATTGATAAATCTGCCTGACAGACTGACGTGATTTTTTTAATGTTATTCTAGCATAATGAGAGGGTATTCAGAAAGGCAGAGCCTCATCCGTGATATGTTCATGATTATCGTATGGATGGAGCATAACGAAGTGGAAGATATGGTCGACGCTGCAATTTTACGACGAAAACCATTCCCAACTGACGGGGAGATAGCCTTTCCTAGAAACAGACTACTTCAGCTGATGTATGACTTCCTCTTAAGCGATCGGGCATTATTTGAAGAACAACTTCAGATCATTCTGAGAAGCCGGTATCTGTCTCCTCGCCCAACACCCAAAACTCGAGACGAATTCGACCTCGAAAGGCTTTTCAACATGCCAGACATGGACTTCCGACAAGCTGCACGGACCACAAAAGCCGGCTTTGTTGAAGTCCTTGACATTATCTGCATGAACCCAGTCTTCCATCGTGGGGGTATTCGTCCGCAGCTACCAATCGCTCATCAACTGGCATTGACTCTAGAGCGCCTGGGATCGAATGGGAATGCAGCCTCTGTTGGCCGCTTCTCTCGGAACTTGAATGTCGGCCGCGGCACTGTCATCAAAGCCACTCGTCGCGTCATTGAGGCTCTAGTTTCCTTAGGTCGACAATACGTTATGTGGCCCAATACCACTCGTCGGGCTGAGATTTCCGAAGTTATGAAGAACGAGGGATTCGTTGGATGTGTTGGATTTGTTGACGGAACAACAATTCCCCTATTTCAGCGGCCCGGTTATGACGGAGAGGTATTCTATGACCGAAAAAGAAGGTATTCAATCAATGCTCAAATAATCTGTGATTGTGACAAGTACATCACATCATTCATCACAGGCTGGCCTGGTACATGCGGGGATAGCCTAGTTTACAAGCGGATGCAGCTGCATCTCAACCCCTCCCAGTATTTTGACGATGGTAAGGTTTCTGTTTGTTTTGCTCAAATGTCTTACAATTCTCTAAGTTGGCTTCTGATGTTGGTTATCTTGTTTATTTGCTTTTTCAGGTCAGTACTTATTGGCCGACTCAGCTTATGAGGTCTCAAAAACAGTGGTTCCAGCCTACAAAAACCCTTCAGCCAAGATTCCGATCAATGCCGACTTCAACTACTGCCTTGCAAAGGCTCGAGTTCGAAACGAACACACCATTGGTGTCCTAAAGTCTTGATGGAGTTCTTTGCGCGAAATGCGATTGCACCTCTATCGTCGCAATGATATGCGGGAATATGTAGCCTGGCTTTACAGCTGCATCATCCTGCACAACATACTTGCAAAGCTGGGCGATCAGTGGGCTGAGATGGCCGATGAGAATTCCAACAGCTTGCCTGCTTCACCGGCTTTTCCAACTGAGGACAATGAGGACGGTGATTCCTTTCGAAAACGATTGACAATCGAATGTGTTAAGTTCAACTACCAAAAGGGTGTCCTCCCTATCTAAATCTCACCATACAGTTTTTCTTTCATGTCTCACTTTTTTGGTCTCATTTTATCTTTTCAACTCATGAAAGTGATTCTTTACTTTAATTTTCACTCGGTCTTGCTTGTCTTGTCTCACTTGGTTGTCCTTCAAGTTTTTATTCAGAAATTAGATCGATCAATTGACATGGAGACAGAAACAATTGATCAATCATTTTTTTAGATGAGATGGAGAAAGAAACGATGAATCGATCACTTTGTTAGATTTCTTGAAAGCAGTCAATTGATAGTTGTGTTAGATTTCTTGGAGACAGAAGCAGTCAAACAATCGTTGTGTTAGAGTTCTTGGAGACAGAAACGATCGATCGATCGATCAATCTGTTATTCAGATTAAGAACACTTGTTAGATTACTTAGAGACCGACATGAGATTGATTCATCTGTTGGATTACTCGGAGACAGCAAAGACAGAAAGGATAGAAACAGCTGATTGATTGGTTAGATTACTTAGAAACAGAAACAACCGATTGATTGGTTAGAATACTTAGAGAAAGAAAGAAGGAGACAGCCGGAGTTGAAATTGAAGAGATGAAATCGGTAAGAATGAAATCAGGAATAAATCAATCGAACAAGAGCTTCAATTTCTGAGGGTGATATACCCTGGGTAATGAGCTCCCGCACCATCGACGCTTTTTCAGATCGAATCGCTTTCTCCTGAGCCTCCTTTTTGTTCATTCGTTCCTCCTCTAGGCGATATCGATCTCGTTCCCATTGTAGTTGGGCATCCAATTGCTTATCCTTTCTCTCATTGGCCAACCGCTCTTGATCGTCCTTTTTTTGGGCTCGGGCATCTTCACGATTCATCCTTTCTCTCTCCATGTTCATCGGGGATTCAACCATCTGGAATCGGGTGTCGGTAGAGTTGCTGAAAGCCGCTGCTAAGGTAGCCTTGGGTGCTACTTGAGGAGGAGCTGACTGTGCATTGGACATCGATCCAGTTTTTCCAATAGGGGTTGGCCGGCCACGGCCGCGACTTGAGCTTCTACCTCGTTCGGACGGAGTTGGGGTGGCCTGAGGCCTTGATTGGCCTGATGTTCCGCCCGCACGTGATTGACTGTTGTGTAAATTGACAGCTGGTGCTTGAGAGGGTGCTTGTGACGGACGATAGCCCGCAAGATCAAGGGAGCTCAGACTGGCCAAGTTCACACTTCGAGTAGTCGGAGTACTGTTTGGTAGAGACAGTGAGTCAGGGAGCTCGTCAGCCGAAGTCGATTGTGTAGGTTCCCACCCGGAATAAAAGATTTCCGGAGAAGAGTCCATATGATTTTCGGCGTGTTTGTCTTCCAGATTATTATTCCCCACCGCTCCATCGTCTTCTTCATCAGTCGGGAGATGTTGTGGAAGCTCTTGAGAAGGCATCGAGTGGTCGAATTCGTACATTGAGGTGACGTTTGCCTTCTGTCCCAGGAGGATATCTAGACGATGATAGCACGGACATTTCTCTTCAAGTAAATCATAGAGATTCTGGGGCCCATCCAACTCCTCAATACCTGCGCCAGTATTCTCCTCAAACCTCTTCGTCTCGACATACTTTTTTCGCCAGCGAGTGATTCGTTGTTGAAGTCGGCGGCCGTTGAGTAATAAGTCTGGGTTGAGCTGATTCAACCATGTTGCAAACACTTCAAAAGCCTGTATTTTGGTCATCGGCTTGACACCAACAGCCGTCTTTGAGCCATCGCCATATATCGCTGTATAGTTTTTTTCGTCTTCCAGGTAAGACATGATATTCTCGTAATCCTCGCTTGAAAAAGCCTTGCCTCGATCTTCAGTCTCCTCTAACTCTGATGATTGGCTCGGACGAGTTGATTTGGGGTTCTTCAGCTTCTTAGCCTGCTTTTCTTGCTCCTTGACCAGCTTCGCCATTTCACAATCTTGTTCTTTTTGGAGTCGAATTCTCTTTTGTTGATCCCGCCACTCTGCCATCTCTTTCTTGGTACGGCGGCCACGTTTAGGAGCTTGAGGGTTCTGGCTTTTGTCGTTGGAGGTCGTAGGCTGACTAGGCTGAACACCGGAAGATTGCTGCTCGGAATTGGACAATGATTCCGATTGTGACATCTGCAATTAATTAAAAACATTAGTACTAAGTTTGATGGTTTGAAAGACCAAAATCCTGGAAGAAAACAAACCGAATTGTCCTGAGATGCATCCATGATGAGGACCTTGGGGGTGGAAATGAGGTGGGGAAAAAATGGGATAGTCGGGGGTGAGTGGGCTTGGCGGGGGGAGTAGTTATGTATGAAGGAGAGCAAGTCTGATGAGCAATTAGCCAGCAGCAGATGAGCAGTGCTGTGGGTTTGGATCGTGGTTAAATTTTATGATAAAATTTTGATGAGCAAGCAGTCGGGATTTTGTGACATGTCCTTAAAAAGGCCCAACGTGAACAGGCCTAATGAACATGTTCTATGATATTGAATGCATACCAGTCTCTGTTGGAATTGTGGATTATCAGTTAATGACAATGTCAACCCTTCATTGGAAGATTTTACAACGAATGCTATGTAGACCAAGTCTCAATAAACATACAGTTCTATGTTATTGAGTTGTACATGTGTATGACAGAAAAAGTTATTGATTTGTTTGCAAGAGTGGGTTTGAGTGGAGATTTTGTGCAGGTTATCAAATCATGTGATAGCTCAGGCTCAGAGATGCTGAAAGAAACATGAACAAGAAAACTTTCAAACATGGCATCAGGTTTTCTGGATTGACTTATTTTACGTCATGTCTGTGCAATTGTCATCGAGTTCTTGCTTGGTGATACCGCGCTGGTTTTTGAAGGATATCGAGTCTATCAGTTTGGATTTGAGCAAGCCAAATGAAAGAGAGTCGATCATCTACTCACTCCGAGTGCCATATCTTGGCCACAACAGTAGCTAGTATCACGACAGCGCGTAAATTGAAGTGGCTCGTTTCCCGGCCAAGATTCGGCATCTCGAACTTTTTCAATCCGCCAGGGGAGATCATGATTGGACGGGTCAACTCAAATGAAATTGATATGCGCATGGGATTGAGGAAGAAGATCAAGAAAAAACGAAACTGTACTTACGAATATAATTGCTACCGGACTGGTGACCACATTGACCGATGTACCGGTGAGTGATCCAGTCATTGCAGGTGAAAGGAGTCAGTGCATCTACAGCTACCGTCCCGTAAGCCACAGCAAAGATAGCGAGGGTAGACAATTGCATAGTGGGGTTGAAGATAACGATAAAGGCGCTTGAGGATATGTTGGACTTGTGAGGTCAAGAGTTTGTGAGATCAAGGGAAACAGAGCAGTGGACGGAGACAATGTCCTCTTATAAAGGGCAAAGCGCGATGAATTCTTGGATGTATAAACAGCAGATTCGGAGTCGGCAGTCGCATTGCACGCAACATCCATCGTGTGGCTTGCTCATCTGTGCCACATCAAAGCCTTTTGGAACTTTTGTATACCCATCGGGGTTGTACAACATGCTGTGTTTTAAAGATGCCTCTATGTAGGTCAAGCCTTATCCTTGGCGAACTGCATAAATGTCTACTTATGATGGCCGTGGAGGCAAGCAACCTTGGGCACTCGTCACATCACACCTGCGCTCACTCTGCACCTCGGAGTCGGGGCTCCGAACGTGTCTGGATGGAGATAGTCAAGCCGGCAGCAGGCAGGCTATGCATGTAGGAAGCCTGCAAAATTATAAGTGGCATTTTGCTCTTGGCAAGTCTATTCTTCCTGAAGTTCCGATCTTCCTACCCGGTGAGGGGAAAGCTGCATCCGATGCCAGCCATTCAACATCAAAACCACTATTCAATTTTATAAATCTTACTTATTATAAGCAAGAATGGAGATCTCCATCTGGCTAGAGTTTCCTATTATCAACTCAGTCACGACCTTGGTAAACGGAGGAATTCCAACCAAATGCGGCGATGAGTCCGGGTCGTTTGTGATCACTTTTGACACCGTTATAGCAGCATGTGCCAGATCAGCGGCTACCCAGGCCGAAGGAGATCGTTCGCGTGCACAAGGTAAAGGGCGGATGAGTGGGCTCTTTCTTTTTTTTTTCTTCACCAGACACGCTGTGATGATGGCTCTCATGGGTTCAAGTGAGTTTCAAAATCAACACGGCGTGAGGATTGGCTATTCAACAGCTGATGTGGTGGTGATCTTAAGGATAAGGACCATTACGTCAGCATGAACCAAGAAGACTGCAAAGTGGTGCAGTAGCTACCAAAACGCCCTCCAGAAGGTATAATACATGAGTTTTCTATTTTCCTATATGATACACACTGATGAATCATTGGGAAAAGCTTGCTGTGGTAACGGCTTGCATTTCCGCATCGAACGGGATGGACTCATTATCCTCAAGCTTTAGGTGATTTGTTCAGCAAGTTATTTTACCCGGGGCCCCAGGTTGCCACTTAACTCTGGGCCAATATGAAGAAGGACGTTGTAGTTTATGTACCGTTTATTTTCCAAATTTGCTACTGAAGAGGAGCTCTGCTTCCACAAGAACGAATGACCCAACTAGGATGGATGGCAATCTTAAATCTCCATTGGGTCAAAATATGTACGACCTAAACGTCATATTTACTGTACGTTGTGTTCCAAACAGCACATCAATAGTTACGAACAGTCAGGGTAATCATTAGATTGCTGCTGTGAGAAATTGAACAGTTTATGAAGAGCAAGGCGATCCAAACGCGATCAAACAATAACGATTAAAAAAGGGGGGGGGATGGACTCAGATAAATAAGTGAGGGTGCATCTTTGTTCTTCGTGACAGTGTAGAGCTAGATGTGTACCTCGTGAATTAAGTGTGAGATCTACGCCAGCATAGAAAAGTAACAACAAAAGTGCTTATATATGGATTTATGGAAGCGGTTAATGGTAAAATTATGACTGAGAAGGATATGTAGCGACGACCACCGGTTTAAATTCCTCTTCTTCATCCTCACTTAGTTCATCCTCCTCATCCTCATCCTCCTCGTCGTCATCTTCAATCGACAGATCTTGAATTTGAGCAGGATGGAGGTGGTCGTCAAGTCGGCTGATAGGGATCTTCAGATCTTTGACGTTCCAATCAAACCGTTTGCAGTCTGTCTGAATCCCCGGCCAATCGATTCCTTCCAAGCTCCTCCGAACTTCTCCATTCCGTCGCTGCCTTCGCTCCTCATCATCCACATCATTTTCTGTATTATGAGCGGTCGCAAATCGTTCCTTGATCGTTAAACTGATGATGTAGTTCAGATTCATTCGGAACCGATCGACCACGCCAAAGAACCAATTCTCGATTTGGAAGTCTTCCATCCATTCCGAGAAGAAATTCGACCGCAGGTACTTCAATTGGACGCTAAACACTTTGGTGATCTCTAGATTCAGACTCAGATAATCTATCTTCTCTCGTTGATCATCCGATTTTCGTTTATTGAGCTCCGTAAGTTCCGAGAGGTTTGACTTGACGATTAAGTTCATTAGGCTTTGGTAGAATTCGAAGGACTGGATCGATTGAATCTCTATGAACGTTATGAATGATAGCTGGAGTAATCCCAAGACCTCTTCAGGATCTATTTGTTTTGCATATCAAAAAAAGGCATCAAAATCAGAATTGAACACAAGGGGCGGAGATTTTGAAGATTGAACTGACCCCTTTTGAATTGATGATGCATAAGATGATCGAATAGCCAGCTCTTATCGCGACTCCATTTTGTGAGTTCAGGACCGATAGCATCCTTAGGCCACGACCTCTTGAGATCGATGAAAGGCCAAAAGGTTGTCCGTTCTTGGGATTGAGATAGGGGTTGGACTTGTAGTTGATCATTCGGAAGTCTAGGTTTTCCCCATTGAGTTCGGTAAGGTATACTGCCCGAGAGTGGTGGGGGTGGATGTGATGATAGGCTGACATTGTTCAAGATGAGACTGTCTAGTAGACCATCCTCTTGATTATCGAAGCCGATGATCCTTGAGACTTGCTCGGCTGTGATACGACTGGTCAATGCCTTCCATCGATCGTAATCCTTGATCGGATATGGTGCTAATTTGGAGTCGATGGTTTTCATGTAATCAATGGAAGTGATTGTCTGTTCCGTCGAATCATGATTTGCCTTGAAATCTTCGAGAGTCGAATCGAAGTACCTGATCAGCTTCTCCTGTGGCTTGAAGAACCTGATGAGTCCCTTCCTGACTTGGTATCCTATCCCGGGCGAGTTGAATGTCTGCTCGGATCCCAGCTTGTTTCGCGATGGTTTGGTTGGCGCAGGACTGATGGTGATGATATGAAAGCCAGGCGGGATCAGTTTGATTCCCTACATCAACAAACAGAAACCACCCATCGGTCAGTCAAGTCTTCCAAGGCTGAAGAAGGGAGAGCGTTGTGTGATGAGCATACATACTTGAAAGAGTGAGCCAGTTAGCCAGGTGGAGCCATCGATGGTGAACTGAGTTCCAGTGGGGAGGTCGTTGAGGATGAAGAAGCAGCCCAGTTCGAACAAGCTGTTCAAGTCTTGAGTGCTTAGCTTGTCGAGTTCCATCTGGTTGGTCAACAGAGTGGTTGATGATACCCACCTCGACTCAGTGCCTCACCCTCGACTCCTCGAGCCACCACCCCCACAGCCTGCCAACTCATTGGACCGCAGTCGGCACCCACACCGGTGAGCGCAAGTGAGCCGGTGAAGTCTCGAACAACCTGGTCCCAAACTGAACCAACCTCATGTACAATCAAACCAGGACCAGGTGCAGGTCTTCCGATTGATTTGAATTTTGAAGTCTTGAGGTAGAAATGAGCCACAGGGACGCCATCGCAGCTTGGGACCTGTATGATGTAAAACAGTTATCCCTCAAGCCCCAGCCTCAACACGGACTGGCCGTCACAAATTCCATCATGTGGCATCGCCACACTACTGTGGGTAAGTTGCACCTGTTTACAGGACTTCCGCCATATGGCTACAATAGCCCATGTATAACACGATTTTACTAATTTGCGTGACCCAGCGCCATCTCACCGGCGTGCCATTCTCTATTGGGATCGGGCTGTAAGGCCGGCTCCTTTCGGCTCGCAAGGACAAAGGAAGTTCACCAAGACCAGCATCAAATGCTCATAAATACTGGCAGCTCCCGCCTAACGGGCATCGACCCTCCGCACTCCCATCCTCCACCGTGCATTTGTCTAATCAGTATCCGCTTGATCCGGAAAAGAAGCATTAAATACTCTTCCAAGATGATGATTAGCATCATCTTACTTGTCGGGATGGTTGCATTTCTATCCATAACCCAATCAAGTGCTTACAACTGTGACAATGCCTTCCAGCCTTTTCCCGATACCCCCAACTCAGTTGGTCAGTCCGATCATCACTTGGCGGGTTTGTATCACTGTTATGCAGAGGCTGATCACAAACTCTCCCTTTTCATCCACAGCGTGCCAAAACGGCCTCGTGGTGCGTAAGTGTGATCTGGACCAATGTATGACAATCGGGCCGTACGGTCTCAAACCTCGTGAGAAGCAATCTTCCAATTCTCAGAACTTACATTAATCTGATAACCTGATCCATGGTTCTATGTAGTATCATCTTGGGTATTCTCAGATTGTCTGCGCGTCCCAACAGGTCGGGTCAAATACCGAGTCCAAGTAAAGCACTTTACTGTCAATGGTGCGCTTAAGAGATACGGTACGTCGTAGCCTCGAGTCTCATTCCGCTAGAAGGCTTCAAGAATCTGATCCAGAGTGCTGTCCGGCTTTCCTACAGAGATTTGGGGTCACAAGTTTTGGCTAAAGACCTCCATCCTGTCCCCTTATTTAACGCAATACTACTGCCCCATGAGTCACGAAAACCTGCGGAGGGCTAGTGAGTCTTACGTTCAAGACATCGATCGAACGTTCACTTGGAATTGACTCATCTCTTTTTTTTTCCATAATCAGCTTGCCCCGAGAACAAATGTGACCCCGTCTAATCAATCTGACTTGATTCATGGACGAAGAACCACTCAGTTTCTCTGCTTTTCTTTTCTTGTTTTCTTTTCATAACTACATACATAATTATCTTTAAGGCAAAAGGGGCCGCACGAAGTGAGCATGTAGATTCAGTACATTTCCCAGTCCCCAGCCATGATCTGCCAAAAATTCTCTTTTACGGTTTGAACCCCCGCTTCTTTCTAGTAATTTTATTTAAAAATTTGGTTCAGAGACTGTCAGGGGTTAAGAGGTCCTAACCCCCTCATAAGAAATAAAGAAGAATATTAGAATAAAGACATAAAATACATCATTAAAATAATGCGTGAGCGCACAAAGAATGAACAAACAAAATATTGAATAATGCTGCAGCACAGCTGGAACTACACAACAAGACACATCCTTATCCCCAATTGTTGAAGGAAATATCTACCATTTCCAAACTGTTCCTCAACCCCAACAAACAGTATGCCACAAATTGGCCAGTAATCTCTCCTAGCATTTAAGAGAGTCACCGGCCTTTCCTTTCTCTTTTTCCTTTTCTTCCTCAGACGATTACAAACTTGAGAGTAGCTATTACTATTGACTTTTAGTACCAGCCTACCTAGCCATTTGCCTAGGCCTGTGGTTTTCACTACCTGGATAGAAGGCTCCAGCCTGACTATCAAAAGCTTCTTTAGTGAAACAGCTCTTTTGAGCTTTGATCTTGCCTCCAACTTCACACCCTCCTCGTGACAATTCTATGACCCTCACGACTGTTCTGACTCCTAAGTATTTACCCCGCCTGTTATCTGGAATTGTTAACATTTCCCTCTCTGAGATTACTCAAGTGGTTTCCCCGACTGTAAGGCTGCTGTAAGAAACACGTAAGCCTCATCGAGCTGTCTCTGAGTCGCCCTAAGCACAACATTAATACTATCCCTTTAACTTTTGTAGAACATTTAGTTCTATCTACCTACTTAGACTCTAGATACTACAACCCGACCTCTTGTAAGTACCTCAAGTCTGACAGAGACCATTTGGGTCTTGTATATTTCTAAGAGCACCCTTGTCCCATAAAGCTGACTGGCCATGACACATTGAAAAAGGCCAAGATGCACCCCTGTCCACGGTTGAGCTCATGGTGTGAGATGAAAGACCAGGTTGAAGTAATCCTTAGTCCGCTTGGAATTCTACCACCATGAGTCACATTGCAATTGGATTTGTTTTCAATCACCATTGGCCATGTCATGACAGTTGAGAAAAACACTCAACTCTTCTTGCAAGTTTGGCACTAAATTTTAAGTCTGCAGCAGTGCTGCAGTTTGTTGAGGTGTCTGTTAGTCTGCTACCATGATGTATCACTACATGTCGAACCATGAGCACTACCACCCAACTACCCTGGCAGTCACAAGCGTCTGTAGCCTACACCACGGTCATTTGGGTGTCGCCCCGGATGTAACCGTCGTGAGTTCGAATCTCACCAGACACATCTTCATTTTGTCTGTCTCTACACAGTTTTTTGTGTGAGAAGAAATTGCTTCTTGCAAGAAGCTATTATGAACCCCCCTAATCAAGTCTTGTGCGACGAGTGAACACAATCAAAGAAGTACATACATACTAGAGATGGTCTCAGGGTATCCATTGAGCATACCCGCTATCCGCTGGCGGATACCCCCTAGCGCCAACAGATACCTGCCAGGAGATACTGATTTGGGTGTGGATGGCCGCTTTTCCCAGAAATCCTGGCAGATATCCGGGTATCTCCTGGGATACCCAAGGCCAAGAGGATTATAGTGGCCGGCTGGAAGGGTTTCATTCCAATTGGCAAGGTATATGTACCTTGCCTTCTGGAAGTAACCAGAAAAAGTGAAAAAGTGACTTGGGACTCTGGGAGTGAAACTAGGTGAGAAAGAGAGGGGAGGTACCCGCAGTACCCACCAAAAGTAGTGCTGGTACCCACTGGGAGGTGCCAGGTGTGGTACTTGGTACCTATTTTCTGAAAAAATTCAACAGGTACCTGAGTAAAAACAAACAATCTCTAGGATAGCGGGTATCTGCAAGTTGTCATTGATGAGGCAGTCTTTGAACGTGCAAAGAGAAAAGAACAATATTGTTGATACTGATAGAGTTTTACAGTGAGGAAAGAAAGTTGAAAGAAACAGTTGCTCATCCTGTATACAGTGATCGAAGAGAAATGAAAGATTGTAGCAAAGGATCTCAAGTCAGTTTTCAGGGACACAGTATCCGCAATGATGGTAGAGCTTGAAGCAAAGCTCTGCCGTCATGATTTCAGCCGCAACTTGGCGGATCTCCCATTTGAGGTCGTTAGTTTGATTCAAAATTTGTGTGGCCCGTAGATTTTGCTTGATTGCAGCGAAGCAGAGCTCAATTGGGTTCAATTCCGGACAGTAGGGTGGAAGGTAAAGGAGTTGTACCCCAGCTGCGTTGCAAAGCTCTCTGACACGGTGTGAGAACTCCTTTCGTATGGGTTGGCATTCCTTTAAGGGGGAAATAACAATATGATATTTCTCTAGGTAATATTTACTGTTACGGGTGGTTTGAAAGACCTGCCCCTCTATTTACTACACAAGAATTCTGACAACAATTTATTTTATTTATGTGGCGTAACTTTATGACAGAGAAAACTTTATATGTAGTAGTCTCTATCAGACCCAGATCAGTATGTAATACAATACAAGATGGTTTTACAACCTTTACACGGTGAATATGAGTTGTGAAAACAATTCAAGTGGAATATTTTATGGGGTTTTATGGGTTTACAGTGATTCTGGATAAGTAGTGAAACTGTTGGTAGTTGTTGTTGATGATGTTGTTGTTGGTGGTGGTGTTGGGCGATGATAATCGCACTCCTCCCCCCTCCCCGCACGCCCACGCCCCCGCCCCTCCAAAAGGGGCGTGCAGAAGAACCCGCCCCTCCAGGAGGGGCGTGTGGGCTTGCACACCAGCCAAGAACCGCAACAATCCCCGCCCCTCCCTTTTGGGCAGGGATGCTACACAACCCTAAATTAGGCTGATGTAAGCAAGACACTCTGGAGTGTTTTGCTTACATCAGCCTTCCTATGGCCATGGAGACTACGCTCTCCATGGCCATAGGAAATGTACATCCGGCCAGGAGGGGGAGAAACCTCCTGGCCCACAGTTGACGGTTGGAAGGAATCCCGACGGCCGGGAGGCATTCCTCCCAGTCGTTGAGACCAATGGTGGGCCAGCTACGCTAACCGTAGCGTTAGCGTAGCGTAGTGTAGCGAAAAACCGCTACAATTTAGCGTAGCGTTAGCGCTTTTCTCATTTTCTGCGCTCACGCTACGCGCATGGGGAAAAAACTTGCGCTAGCGTTTAGCGTAGCGTTAGCGCGATTCCCCCCATCTGCGCTAACGCTACGCGCGCAGGGCGCAAAAAACCGCCTGCTACGCTGCGCTACAGCAGTTCTTAGCGGTTTTTAGGTGTTTTTTGCCGCTAAAAACGCTGTAGCGTAGCGTAACACAGCGTAGCGGCGCCAGAGGCGCGCTAACACTACACCAAAAATTGGCAAGTGTTAGCGCCGCTACGAATTAGCGTAGCGCAGCGGCCGTAGCGGCGCGCTAACACTACGCGAAAAAAAAGAAAAAATGGCGCCGCTACGCTAACGCTACATGGGCCCGTAGCGTAGTGTAGCGTAGCGGCCCACCGCTGTTGAGACTGTACAGTCTTGACGGCCGGGAGGAATTCCTCTCGGCGTCGGGATTGTACAGTCTCAACGACTGGGAG